TCCAGCACAAAATTATTTGAATTGCAATGTATTAATATAAAAAAGTCTTCCAAGGCTCCAAGAAAATATAAGGTTATTTTTAACCAAGTCATGACAGATATTCTGAAAAGGGAGGGTACTTATATTTCTAATCCTTTGACACTACTATCACATGCTGAGTAATCAGTACCTGTACTCCATTTGCCAGGAGTCTTCAGCTAAATATCTGGGAAGAGACCATTCCTGTCCAGAAATGCAAACAACCTAAGTCAAACATAGTAAGTGGGAGTAACAAATGACCAGAGGGGACAGAGACCCCTACTTATGAAAACAGTGATTTGCCTCCTGTACCACTGCATGACAAAGACCGCACAGCAGCAGCAAAAGGAGTAAGCTGACGTTACCGTATTTCTGTAATAGCATGACTTATTTCTTAAAAACTCTTACCGTACAGTGTTCATAAAGACTTTCATTTCCTCATAAGTCAGTATCAAAGATCAAGTTAATATGAGGGAACTTGCCCATGTCATGCAACTATTTTTACTATAATGTCAGAGTTTCATGGTCTCAAAACTATGCCTTTGCTCTTTTCTGAATCACTAACTTGGAGGAGGCTTAGAGAACAGCAGCAACATTATTTTTCTGAAAAGCACGCTACTGAAAACAGAGCAGATGCAGGCAGAAAACTCCAAGGATCATCAGGAGTACGCGTTGTGGCTAGACAGACTCACCACCCAAGAATTACCGACAGGAAGATGGCAGGATTTCGACAGGTACTACCACAGCCCTGAGGCAGTACTATCAGCATAGGGCTGCTCCCAGTGCACATATGCAACTTGCCAATTAAAATCTGATTTCAACCCTAATCTTCACAGAAGTCTTCCAAGTATGGGTTCAGGAAGAAAAAAAGATCATTTCTAAGTAAGTGTGGAGAGATTAAAAATTAATAATATACTAAAATATTATTACACTTAGAGCTTTTAATAATCATCCTTTCTTTCATATTGTATGGGAAAATTTCAAGACCCATGTGCACACCAGATATTATTATAAGACATGCCTGAACCCTGAACTTTTCAAGCAACAAAAGATTTTGGTATGGAAGCAGGCTACTCGACATAATGCAATGAGAGGGGATTAGTTTCTCATAAATGTTTCAAGGCAATAATCCCTGTGCATGAATGGCAATTTAGGATGTTTTTCAATGATTTAGAACACTTTTTTTTAAAGTAAATAGCTGTTTTTCAAAGCATTAAAAAAAATTTATCTTTAAAATTAATACATGATAGATTTTTAATATCTTTTCATGCTTTCTATGATTGTTTGCTTTCCATATTTCAATAGCATAATAATCTTTTATTTTAAAACATAACATTTTTTAAAGTTTCCCCAAAATGCATTTCTATCTATTGAAAGGAAAAAAATCAACTTAAAAGAAAAATCCTTTAAAACAGTCCAAATTACCAAACAGATAATGTCTGAATAAAAGAAATCTCTAATAGCTACATTTGTTATTACAGAGGTTCTTTTGCTGGGATTGAAAAAGTAAAACACTAATACAAGCACTGGCACAAAGTCAGTGACCTCTGAAGACTTCTTAGCTCAGGAACAAGCTGAAATCACTGTCATAAAATTGCAGTGAGGAGCTAAGGACAAAAAAGTTTTCAGCTCGCTCTCTCTACTGATAACAGTAGAAGCTGCTATTTATTTTTGTGTTTATCAAATAACTTTCTAAAAAATATTTCCCTTCAGCATTGTGAATTACTGTAACTACTCTTCTAACCATTATTCAGGTTATAAGAATCATTCCTGCTACCCAAATAAACTGCTACTTAATTGGACAGTGAACAAAACACAGCACTATATATCTTTTAGCAGCTGGACAGCAAAGAAGTGATGCAGTTGCAGCTGTGTGTGACTAATTCTTTATCAATCTCACACACATCAACGAGCATCATCATAAAGTGGAAAGGCTGCACAACTGGATTAGGAAAAACTGTTAAGAAAATCGCTGCTCCGTAGCTGTCCTGGAGTTGTATCTGAGCCATTTATCTGAGAAACTATTACTCCATTGCTCCACATAGATCAGCTGTGCAAGTCCTGTTTGTAGCTATCTTCCCTGGAGACTGTGTAATCTGTGCTTTCTAAGAAAGCTGAATCTTCCTGATTTTATTTTTATAATCACTTTTTTTATTTTGAATGAACTAGGAATTGTGTGGAAACCGAGGAGAGATGTGATCTCATTACCCTTAGACTATCTTTCAGACTCATCAGTGTTTCAGACAAACAGTGGAGGCATTTCTTGCAAACCAGCACAGAAGGACATTAAGTGCACTATGTACATGCTTCTGAAAAAAAACCCAAAACAGCCTCTTGCTCGCCATTGTGAGTGGAGCACAGGACAGAACTGTGCATCCGGTGGAGCAGCAGCTCAGCCCAGCCAGCCTGGCCCACTTCTCAGGTCATGCACCATTTCCAACCCATAGTTTCCCAAGTTGCAGCCAAATCTTGAAACAACACAAAGCCCTTCTGCACTATGTCAGTGTTTGTGGGTGAAGTGAGGTGAGGGAAGGGGGTTAGAGCTGCCTGTTCCCAGAGAAGCCTTTCTCCTCCAACAGGAGGAGGCTCAAGGAGAACCTGGGGACACACCAACCCAGCCTGGTGCCTCTTCAAAGTCCCATGCACAACATGCTAGTCCAGGCCTTAGAGGACCAGCATCTTCATAAAAAGCCCACACATTCACAAATGACATTCACTGTCAGTTTCACCGAGATGGATAAAACCTGGCTAGAGATTGGACCTGATCACAATATAATGATACTTCAAGGATATCTGAGCTGCTACTGCCCTTGCTGAATCACTCCAACATATAACTGAGGGCTGGCTCCTTTCAGAGCTTCATGATTCATTAAGTTTTGCTAACACTTTATTTTTTTCCCCACTGAAACAGAGACAGAGAGAAGGAACAAAGAAAAAATGAATGTCAGTGGGGGGAAAAAATAGGATAGACAAAGGGCAATTTTTCTCCTCAATTATTTGAGTAATACGGATATTTAATATTCTGACCTCAATCATTGGTTACAAATTCCTGTTTGGAAAAAGAAAAGGCAAATACAAAATGCAAAATATTTGGAAATATTTCTTCTTCAATCACTCTATCTCCAAATCATTGCCCATTTCACCCCAAAAATCTATTTCTGGTCTTCCCAGCCTTTGTACAAACTGCTGCTACTTCCCTTTTACCACTTCGTCTTACCCCTTTCTAGACAAAGCTCTTAGGCGCCACAGACAGTTGAATTATGGAGCAACTAGTCAAATCTGCACATGCCCTTCCTACTCCCAAACTACCATGATGGCTAATTTGTCTGACTGTGTTAGCTGCTGTTTCAGAATTACAGTATTAAAACTACAGGCACTTGGCTGTTCTTTTCAGCAAAATTTTCTTATTTATGTTATGATTTAGACACAAATACCATAGCGACAATTTTTCAAAGGCATAACTTGCCACGAAGAAATTGCATATATTGATTGTCTGACACTAGACATTTTGAATCTTAGGCTATTAGCACAGGAGAACCATAAAACCCTGATGCTTTCATTGTTCTGCAAAAATTGTTTCATCTTACCAAGACTATTACACATACCCAGCAGACTTCAACAGAGTCAGGAGACTAAAAATGCCCAATTAGCTTAAGAAAAACTGTTTTCCAAGTATATACTCATATGATTTCTACAAATGCTATACCATTATGTCATAAAAAGGAATAGCATCAAATATGTTTTCATGAAGAATTGTTTTTCTGAAACATTTTAAATCCACTACCACCTTCAAGACAAACATTCATGTATTGTTCAAAAAAATTCTCACACTGCTTGTTGGTTAGAAAGTAACTCATCCCACAGATGAGGCCAGTAAAAAATGTCATTGGATCCTATTATATCTGTAAACATGTAACTGAAATCTTTAAAACAGTAATGAATTCAAACTGTGGTTCCAGAGTGTTCAAGGTTAAATCCAAATGATCTTAAATTTATAAAAGCCAAATTAACATCCATGTATAAATTCTTTTGGCATCAATGATTTTTCAAGCTTGTTGTGAGGCTATTTCCAGCTCGATTTCAGTTGCTTAACTTCCAAGCCAATTCTGTTATTAGAAGATGTATTTTGACCAGAACAGCAAAAGAGAACTCTTCCTTTCTTTTGGTTGTTGGTTTTGTTTGGTGTGGGTTTTTTTTTTTATTTATTTCTAATGAGAACATTTTCTTTAAGTAAGAATTTTATCAAGACTATTAAAATCTTCCCATCCTGCTATGTTACATATTCATTTAGTTTTCAAATAATGCATCTGATGCTGCAAGTGCTGGCTTCTCAGCACTTCTCTTTGCCCTAGACCTCACAATTGGAGATAGTATGACATATCCCTAGCAATATCAGTTGGGTGAATTATTACAACCATTTTATTGTTTTGATACCTCACTAAAACTGAAGCATATTACAAAATAATGCCTTTCTCCTCAAACACAATTTTGCAAAAATTATACTGCTTGTCTGTGAGGAAAGGTGTACCTAAACAAGTTTCTGTCTTGCACAAGCACCTGGGACAACTACAGTATGACAAGTGTGCAGAGGGCCAGCACAGGACCCACATGATGGGGAAAACAGCATTACGATACTGAACAGATTTACAGTTAGTGGCAGAATACTAACTGGCAGCAGGGCAGTGAAGTGCACCATTTTATATGATGTGGTAACATATATTGTCCTTGTTTGGACCGGTGCTGTTACAGGAACTAGTGCACACAGACCTTTTCTCAGACCAATGGCTTAATGGTAATTTTAGTGCAAAAAAAGGCTGAGGATTTATGTCATTAAATCTAATCCATACAGACTGATCATGACTTTATTCTGATCTATGTTTCTCTTTATGTACTAAAAGAAGAGGCACAGTTTCATACATTCCAGATCTCACTAACCCTTTAGCTGGTGGAACTCAATCCTGTATAATTTGGATTTACTATACCTCACTAAACTGTTGGCAGTGTCAGGATCTTGTGCTGTTACTGTGCCAACAGTAGTCCCGATCTTCGCATTTTCATAAACTTCCATGACATAGGAAGGCATAGTGAAGAGCGGAGGTTCATCCACATCACCAACAATGATCTTCAACATTGTTACATCTTTGAACGGTCCCAAGTGCGAAAAGCGGAAATCAAGGTGAGTATTTGCTCCTTCGATATTAAGTGTGTATGATTTCTTTTTTTCGTAGTTGAGTGGCTGTTGGCAGAAAAAAAGATTTATCAATGCCATTCTGTGTTTCAGTTTTTCTTGCTAGCAAGCTAACTACATCTTTTCCATTTAACTTCAACTACATTTCTTCATGTTATTGGAAAGGGACAATACTCTTTGATAGTCTGGCAGCCACTGTCATGCGTTTTAAGTAGAAGGATATACATGAAGCAGGATGGATTCAGGTATTCTCTACAACAGAATAGTGGGCAAGGTACCAATTTTGGAAAAACTCAGGGATTAGAATGGCCTCAGATTCTTCTTCCATGATAATGTAAAGTCTCTGGATTTTATCACCTTTCAATTTTTATTGTTCAGTGCTAAATACTGGAAAAGGTAGACGTATCCTAAATTAAATTAACTTCATATCTTTAATTATCGAGCTTAATAGATAGTGACAGGGCTATTAAAATCCTTTCGGGCATCTCTTCTGTTAAATACTCAACTGAAAAAACACCTCCTTGCAGAAAAAGACTCAGTTATCATAACAGATATCGTAAGAGACAGGAAATGAAATGTGCAAGAATAGCCTAAAGATGTGCTTGTGGTCTTTTCCAATCAGAAAGTATGCATCCCTATATTCCAGACCATTTTCTTTTCAATTCTTTACCACCACTGAGACAACTCTTCAGCCTGTCTCACCATATACTGCTGTGCTGCACCTGTATTACGCTGTCATAAATGGGAAGAAAGTCTGCAGCTGGGGATATGACTTCAACCGGGCCTAATGTTCCAATAAAACCCAACAGAAGGCACATCCCCAGCTGTACCATTCACCAGAAGCACCACTGTCACTTTTGCATTGCCCTGTTATTTAAAGGAAGAAGATGGGGGCCTAACTCATATCACACATCATAAGCATTTTCCTTCTTAGGAGTCCCATTTCTATCTTGTTATTTACACATGTGACAGTTCCATCTTCATAGTTCAGATGGTTTTCAGATTACTGTGAAGTAATTTTACTGACAATATATTTATTTTTACCCTACATTATCATGCTATTACACTGTCTTATTCAAGATACAAGATAAACATGACACACAAAACTCTCTATTCTTCTAGTCTCAGACAGTTATGTAGTAGAAGGGACTAAAAGGATATTTTACTTAAAAGTACACAAGTAATGAAGTTTCATTAGCAGAATTAAACAATGTCTTTACTGGGAGCCATGTTTACAGGACAAGAACTTTTCTGAGTTGGTTTATTCAGTCTCACTAAAGTAGCTAACTATTTTTTTATAGACAGCCCAGGTGGTCACAGAACAGATATTGTTTCAGATGGCTATTTTTCAAATGTGCTATGTTAAGGAAAAGCACTCATTCTTGATAATAGACACCTCAGTACTTACCAGGTTACAAATTTCTGGCCTCAGGCAATTTATAAAGGACATGTGGGTTAATATTTATTATCATACTGAGCAAAGCAGGTAGTTTGTACAGATATCTATGGTACTACCACTAAGTTTCCAACAGTCTCAGAACACAAGCATAACACTTAAAGAAGTTGCATATGTGTGGAATCCCACTACAAGCAGTATCATTCTATGTGGACCTGACAGGCTGACTGAAGAGATCTGAGCACAAATATTCAAGCCATCGACCAAGGCTAAACTGGTATTTCCTATCACCCCAAAGACTAGAAAAGTAGTACTTAAGGCAAGAAATATGAGGAACTCAATGTGTGGTTTGTCAATGTCAGTGTGTATTTTGTAGATAAAATCTACAGTAAATTTGTTGTATGATGTATAAGAAAAATAGATGGTTTGGATTTACATATGGTACATATTTGTTTGATTACTCCTCTGTGTACTGAAGGATAATTAATAAATTTTCGTAACTTCAACAGTATGAGACTTTTTTGCAGTTTGCTTTCTCTGTCTCCCTTTTCTGAATGTAAAAATACAAATTTTAAAGGCATGGAAATTTACCATAGCCTTATACATCTATTACGATAGGAAAAAAAACAAACAAACAAACAAACAAACAAAAAAGCAAAAAAAACCCAAAACCCCTGAGTATACTACTTAATTAAATAAATTAATAAAGAAATATGTTTAGTAAATTTTAACTGAGATGCTGTTCATTAATTTACGACGTATTTCTGTTATGAGCAGGGAAGTGTTAAATAGTAATTTGCATTGCTCTGCAGCATATATATTCTAAGATTAAACAAGTGTATAATAGGATTACAAATTGCAACTATGAGGACTTTTTTGAAAGTTAGTTTAAATTTATACTAACAATTACTGGATTAGGTTGTACAGGAAGATTAATTTCTCCCAGAAAACACACAAGGAATAACAAAAAGTCCTGTTCTCTTTCTTTCTTTTGTGTAGTTACTCAATCAGACATTATTAACAATTTTTGTTTGGTTGTTTTTGTTCAGAAATACAGGAATAATCCATTCAGATAATCAGAAAAAGCTAACAATTCAACTACAGCCAAAGAAGTTTTTAACTTAATTTTCTTCTTCCCATAACAACTCTGAATGAAAAAATCAGCTACTGAGACATAAAAGGAAAAAGAGCTTACTCTCCTGCACTGTGATTCACAGAGGTTAAAAACCACTACTATTTTGAACACTGAGATATTTTAGACAGAAAAGACTGTACTAAGGATTAACATTTCTAGTGTTCACATTTACTACCTTTTGTGTTTGTTTGTTGTTGGTTGGTTTTTTTTTTGTTTTTTTTTTTTTTTTAAATATTTCCTTGTTCTCTCATGAGGAGAAGCAAAGAAATATACAAGCAAAGCAAGCCCAGTGATATTCTACATCCTTGAACAACTCAAAAGTCCAGTTCGTACATCTTTTTCATCTTTTATATTTGATAAAATATTTTTAAAAAAATGAAATCAGTTTGCAGTTTGAAAATATAGAACTGTATTTTCCTGGGTATCTACTTAAACACCGTGCATGTGTTAAAATTGACATTTATCTTACATTTGAAGAACAAATTGGATTCTCATATATAGACCTCATTTATAGGAGGTTTTTACTTCC